TCGAGGGTCAAAGAGTCTGCCTGTCTGCCTGTCTGTCAGCACCTCAAGGGTCAAAGAGTCTGCCTGTCTGTCTGTCAGCACCCTGAGCTCCCAATAGTTGTTCGGTCGATGCTGTAAGTTGGGGTGGCTGCGAATGTGGGGGTGTCCCTGACCCTCTGTGCGGCTGTGTGGTTACAGAGGGAAAGAGCATGGAGTACAGCGAGGTGACCAGCGTCTTCTCTCGCCTGGTGGAGACGCACTTCCTGCAGCGCTGCCCCCCAGTGGCAGAGCGCAGCGGCGACAGCGCGGCCTGCCCAGCCCCCACCCTGGCTGATGGCGACAAGGAGAGGTACACCCTGCCCCACATCACCCTGACAGGTAGCCCTGCGCCTGGGGCTGGGCTGACCGGCCTGTCTGTCTGTCTGTCTGTCTGTCTGTCTGTCTGTCTGTCTGTCTGTCTGTCTGTCTGTCTGTCTGGGGGTGGGGGCAGGCTGGGCCCTGTCTGTCTGTCTGTCTGTCTGTCTGTCTGTCTGTCTGTCTGTCTGTCTGTCTGTCTGTCTGAGTGGGGGTGGGGGCAGGCTGGGCTGACTGGCCCCCCTGTCTGTCTGTCTGAGTGGGGCTGGGGGCAGGCTGGGCTGACCGGCCCCCTGTGTGTCCCCCTGCAGGCCGGGGGAAGCGCCCGCGGGCCAGTGAGGACAGCGAGGGCGACCAGAGGGCGAAGAGAGCCAGGCTGGACACGGCGGCTCACGAGGTACTGGACCCCAGAGGAGGGGCGCCGTGAGTGCAGCTCGTCCTCCGTTGCTGTCCCTCGTCTTCCTCCTCCTCTCTCTGTCCGCACAGGCCCAGGGCGATGATGGGATCTACTGGCAGGTGAATTTCGAGAGGTTCCACCAGCACTTCCGAGACCAGGCCATCGTCAGCGCGGTGGCCAGCAAGCTGGACCAGGTGAGGCTGTGACACCCCTGGATACTTACTGGGACCGTGTGTGAGTGTGAGTGTGAGTGTGAGTGTGAGTGTGAGTGTGAGTGTGAGTGTGAGTGTGAGTGTGTGTGGGGCGATGAGAGCTGTCCGGGGCTCTGCTGTGAGACTGGTCTGTCCACCCTGTGCCCGCAGACCAGCAGCGAGATCGTGAGGACCATGCTGAGGATGAGCGAGGTGACCACCCCGTCCGGCGCCGCCTGCACCCAGCCGCTGAGCTGCAACGAGGTGAGGAGGGGTGCACCTGACCGGCCCGCGGGAGGGGAGTGGACGGGGGGTGCCACTGACCAGCCTTCGAGACGGGGGGGCAGGGGGTGCCACTGACTGGCCCGTGGGACAGGGGGGGCAGGGGGGTGCCACTGACCGGCCTGCGGGACAGGGGAGGGACATGGGGGTGCAGCTGACCGGCCTGCGGGACAGGGAAGGGACACGGGGGTGCAGCTGACCGGCCTGCGGGACAGGGGAGGGACACGGGGGTGCAGCTGACCGGCCTGCAGGACAGGAGGGGTGCGGCTCAGGGCTCAGTCCTCACTGCTCTTACCGTTGGCGTTTTTTTGTTTATGCAGATTTTCCGGGCGCTGCCCCCTAGTTACAGCATCACCCGGCCCGTGCTGGACCAGTACCTCTCCCTGCTCGTGGATGACCCGGTAAGACCCGGAACACCAGGAGAAATAGGTCTGGACTGAGTGTCTGTACAGTTACTCTACAGCTCTGATGATGATGAAGGAGTGTT